GCGCCCGCACCGCGCTCTCCAGTGCGCCACCGGGCCGGCCCATGACTTAGATTTTTTTTTTCCTTTTTGTCTTTTTTACTGAACGGTAATGGGATTGCAACCCTCGGTGTCGCGCCCGTACCGGGGACCGGCAACGGGATCGCAACCCTCGGTGTTGCGCCCGCACCGCGCTCTCCAGTGCGCCACCGGGCCGGCCCATGACTTAGATTTTAATTGCCATTCAATTCAACAAATTGTTTTTTAGTAAACCACTTGCCAGACTTGAACTTGTACTGTTTTCCTAGGACTGCCGTCACTAAGTATAAAAACTGGGCAGCTTAAAACAACAGGAATTTATTCTCTCATGGTTCTGGAGGCTAGAAGTTCAAGATCAATGTGCCGGCAGGGCACGGTCACTCTTAAGCCCCTAGGGGAGGTCTTTCCTTGCTGCTTCCAGTTTGTGGTGGCCCCGGCATTCCTTGGCCATGGCAGCATCACTCCAACTTCTGCCACGTCTTCACGTGGCTCTTCCTCCTGTGACTGTCTGTGTTTAAATGTTCCTATTCTTATAAGGACCTCGGTCACATTGGATTAGGGCCTACCCTAATCTAGTCTGACCTCATCTTACCCTGATTACATCTGCAAAGACCCTATTTCCAAATAAGGTCACATTCACAGGTCCCAAGGGTAAGGATTTCAACAGAGCTTTTTTGGGAGACACAGTTCAGCCCATAACAGTCTTCCTTCTGGCCCCCCAATATTCAAGTCCTTCCATGTGCAAAATACATTTACTCCATTCCAGTATCCCCAAAAGTCTTAACAATTTTAGCATCAATTTTAAGTCCAAAATCTCATTTAAATATTATCGATTCAAAGTCCCAAATCTCATGATCTAAGTCATTTGAATCAGTTATAGGTGAGACCTATCGTGTGATTAATCCTGGGGAAAAACTCCTCTCCGTCTCTGAACCTGTGAACCAGACAAGTTATCTGCTTCCAAAATGCAATGGTGGGCCAGGCATAGGATAGACAGTCCCGTTCCAAAAAAGGAGAAATAGGAAGGAAAAAGGCAATCACTGGTCCCAAGCAAGTCCAAACCCACCAGTGCAAATTCCATTAGAATTTTTTTCACTATTTACCTTCTGAAAATTTTAAATGAGCTATACAGGAGAAGACAAAGTTAACGGGCAGAGACATCAGACAGACGTAGAGTGGAGGGGAGGGATGAATTCACCAACAGAAGTTGAAGACAAAGTTACCGGGCAGAGACATCAGACAGACGTAGAGTGGAGGGGAGGGATGAATTCACCAACAGAAGTTGAACGGGAAACGTCTCCTTCTGGCCTACGGTGGACATTCCTTGTTTAGACAGGCACCATTCATTTGCCCTTCGTCTGGTAAAAGTGTCCTAATGTCCACTCCCTGGCCAAGTCTTTCAGATGGCGTAGACTCTGCACTCCGGAGTGAACATGGGATTCAGGCCTGGCTACTCAGAATTGTACCTTCCTCTGGCCATGGTGACTTCTGCAAGATGGCACTTGATCCAAACGGCACCCATGAGATGCGATCTGCACCTTTGGTGGGCCCGTTGAAAAAAAGGAGTGCTCTTTTTCAGCTCAAGTTAGAACTGGGAGGATGAAGGTCTGACGTTGCTGGCAGCCATCCTGCTAATCCATAGCTCCTGAGAACAGAGCCGAACAGAGCTGCAGGTAACCCAGTTCGGATGACATTGTTTAGGCCCCTAAATCCAGTTTACCTGAAGGCAGTGGGACTCCAGACTATTTTGTCATGTGTGCCGACAAATCCTCTTTGTTTGCTTAAACCAGTCTGGGGCAGGTTTTCTTTGTCGTAGTTACCACTGCTTTCATTTAAATGGTTTTAAGTGGTCCACGTCCAAGGATAGGGGCTGTATCATTATAGCGGAAAAGGCCCAAAACTAAGAGTTGAGATACATGGGTTATCATTGCATCCATGACAACGGAATTTGGATTGGGTGAGTTATTTAGCCTTTCTGTGCCCCAGTCACCTATTGTGCAACAGTCGTTGAACTTGATAATTTCGTGTGGTCCCAACCCTCCCCTAAAATTCTGCAAGTAACTACACATGCCTACATACACTTTTTCTATGCTAAGAATTTAAACTGTACTCATAGAATTTAAACTATATTTATAAAATTTGCCTAAGTCAATAAAAACTGCTGGCATCCTTTGAGTTTGAAAGAATCACTCTTGCCATAATTTTCTAGTTTTTTTATATGATTTTACTACATGTAAAGGCTGGCTCCCCAAAGCAGAAATATGACTGGCTGAGGTTTCATATGGATTCTTTACTTGGCCTACCTGGGTACCAAATGGTGATAGTTAATTAATAGTAACTCACGGGTGGTTCTAGCATTCGTTTCTGATCCCTGGGCCAACACTTGAGAGCTCCTAACAGAGGAGCAAAGGATGCAAGGTCCATGAGTATTTAAATTGTGGCATTTTCTAAGCCACAACCTGGGACGTGTTCTTTGATGGAGGATTGTCCCGAAGCCATAGGATTTATAGTCATTCTGCCACTCTAACCAAATCAACGCAGTTGAGGCAGTATCTTTACTCTCTGGGAAAGTGGATTTTTCTGAGTTATCATTATAAGCAGGCAGCAGTGCTGTAGATGAAATATTTAAAAATGACTTGGTGGTTATGGAAAGTTTTGGAAATATACAGAAATAGAAATAATGTCTGTCAATAGGTATTTTATTGGCCTTCCTTAATTTATATTTCCTATGGAACAGGGCCAGGACTAGGGCAAAGTAAGTGTGACCCACAGGGTACAAAATTCGAGAAGGCGTCACTCTCAGGCCTGTACCTGCAAGCACATGACCCCAGAGTGACTGCTTCCTTAAATTCTGCACCCAGGGTTACAGAGCGACTGGCCATTTTATTTATTGAGTGTCCTGATTCTTTAGCTTCTTTGGCATTTCTGAATTGTAATAACCCAGGTTGTTTCTCCCCAGGGCAAAGTCGGATTTTGATATAGATCCAGCAGGTGAATACCTGTGCCAACTCCCTTCTACTTAGGAACAAAACTTTATAGGCTGACATAGGAATAAAGAAAAAAAAAATACAATTTATGACTAGGACATAGGAAACAAGTTTTAAAGATTTTATGAAATTCTTTTTGTGGGGCAAATATAGAAGATGAGATGTAAAACATGTTTTAAAGGACTTTGAGAGAAAAAGTTGACTGGTAGGGATGTCTAATCTGCCGTTTGGGTTTGTTTTTCATTGGTTGTGAATCTGGGGTGCAGTTTTTAAAAGTCTGTGTCAGGCTGTCTGAGGCACAGGACATCTTGTTAACTTAGCACCATCATCATCCACAGAGGGAGTTTTATGCTTAAATGTTTGCATTATAAATGCATAGGTACCCTTGTATAAAATCTTAGGAAAGGGCCTCAGATTCAAAACTCATTTTTTAAATAGATGATGAAATAAGCACCTTTATCAAATATATTGATGACTTTTTCTTTTTTACATGACACATTTGCCATCTCTTTGTAAGGGCCTGCCATGCAGGCACTAGGTCTGCCATGTAGTGTGGCTGCCACCAGGAAGCACAGATTCCCCCGTGAGCACCAACCAGCTGCAGATAACGTGATATTCATCAACACGGAGTTAGGAATGTGGGGATTTTAAATAACTCCAAATCTTTGATTAAAACAAGTAGAAAATGAAATCATAACTTGCCATATTCTGTATTTGCCATATTGTATATTTCACAGAGTGAAATATAGATTTTGTAGTTAAGTTTTAAAGAATTCTATAGGTAGCCTAAGGTACTCGTCAACTAAATTTCCGTTGTTGTTCATCATCCTCTTCATGATCCATTGGGCTTTTCTCCTTACCACGCTCAAGTGAAAACAAACTCAGTTTACAGGTAGGTTGTTTGCGGGGGAGGGTTCGAGCCATCTGTGCAGAGCACGCACCACCCTTGGCCTTCACCCCTGGCCCCTGGAACTTTGCAAAAAGTTCTGGGACTGCTCAGACCCACCCCACAATGTTAAATGAGCAGAGCTTCACCCTGGGACAAAGCTAGGGCGAGGTAGAGCGCTGACGGGACTTCAAATAAAGCACATTAAAAAAAAAAATGGAACTGTAGTTTGCCGTGGAATAAAAGGCTCACTTGGGCTCTGTTCCTTTGCGCAAGTCACACTTCTGGCATCCAAGGCGAATGAATTATCCTCTCGTTAGTTCACGAAGACCATGGCCCTCGGAGCGTACGACACTCGGATTCACAGGAATCACTGGGTGCCTCGTTCCCGCGCACCAGGCTGAGGCCGAGACGCCATCTGGAGGAGCTGGCAGAGGCCGCAGCAGCAAGCTGTCCCTCCTGCCCCCTGCCCCGGGTCGTCGTCTTGCCTCGCACCCCGCCCACCTGGCTTCACTATTCCAGAAGGGTCAGTTCTCCAGCGGCCCGTCCCACGTTGATTCTGCCACTACAAGACCAGAGGGCAGGTCTCTGGGGACAGCCCGGAACTTGTCCAGGCAAACCGTGGGAGGGAGGGCCTTGGCAGCCTCACTTCCCTTCCCTACAACCGCAGTCGCTCTTCCAGCCACGGGTCCCCGCTCCCACAGAGGCCTCTCAACATAAAAACACCTCACTGTTCAAATCCTTTGTGTCTTCTCCACGTGCTCCCGCCAAGACGCACGAGGCGCCTTTACAAGTTCCTCTGCAGAGGAGGACACCGCAGCGGAGCCGTCCTGGACAGCAGCCTGCACCCGACTCCAGATCCAGGGTGACTCGCATTCGCCTGCCCCGAGGGTCGCCACCGTCACGCCTCCGTTCTGACCCGCACCCAGACCTCCTCGGCCTTCCCTCCCGCCTCCCCGCAGATCTTCCCATGGTTGGAGTTTGTCGGAATCCTAGCTCTACAAATTCATATTGTAGATGATTATGATAATGTTACAAGTCAAATTAGATGAAGTCACTGATGGCTGATTCACGCAGTTGTACACAGCCAGAAGTGTGACGTGCAGTCACACCTTATATTGAGTTTTAGCCGTCTTTCGGAGCGGAGACGGCTAGATCGGACTGCGTGCCAGCGGTCCCGCATCCTTCCACGGACGCTGTCACCAGGTCACGACGCAGAAGGCCCTGAGCTCGCAAGACCTCGCCAGAGTCACGTGGGACGGAAGGGCAAACCTTAGCCGTTCCTTACTCCAGCCACATGGGGGCGCGATACCCCCGTGGCTGCCGAAAAGACGGCGGGGCGACGCTCTTGCCCTGGGGACGTGGCCGTACTCTCGTCCCGGGATCCTCGCACCGCGACCCGGAAGCGCGCGCGTCACGTGGCGCGGCGTGGGTCGCTGCCTTGGAAACGTGTAGCGCGCGCCCCGGGCTGAGCTGCTCTGCGGGGAGGGGTGTCTCGCGGCGAGGGAAGGGGCTGCTCCAGGGGCACGATGCTGTGCGCCCGGTGGCTCGGCGGTCTCGGGGCCGGGGTAGCTGCTCTGCGGCCGGGGCGGGCGGGCCGGGGCGGCTTCGCAGCCGGGATCCGGGTCCGAAGGGTCAGCACCAGCTGGTCCCCGGTGGGCGCCGCCTTCAATGTCAAGCCCCAGGGCCGCCGCCTGGACCTGTTTGGCGAGTGCCGGGTGAGCGGCGCAGGAGGGAGCTCCCCTCGCCCCCCCGAGCGAAGCCGGCCCCTTTCTCCGCGCGGCCAGCGGCGACTCGGGCAAGATCGTTTGGGTCTGGGAGGGGCCGGGCAGTGAGCCCGCGTTGTGCACTGGGGTGTCGTTTGCACTCTTGGTGACCTTGCCATTCTCCTCCTCTTGAAGGGGCTGGGTTGATGGAGGCTGGGCGGGGCGGCCTTTAGTCGTCCCTTACGTAAAGTGTAGGGTTCAAGAACTGCGTCCGCGTGAGCCTGTTGCTCCATGTGTACTTAAAATAGTTCGTCTTGGCGGTGGCGGTGAATTCGGCCTGCCGGGTCCCGCCCTGTCCCCCCTTCTCAGCCCCACCCCTGCTGAAGTTCACTTTTGCTCCAACCCTACAGTTGTGTCTAAAGAGGCATGGCCCTGTGAGTTCACGTTAAGTATCAAGTGTCTTTTTGCAAGGATCCTCTTGCAAAAAGGCCGGGTAATAGTAATTTCATTTATGTCTAAAATTCCATCATCCGGTAATTTATTATTTCAAAGCTTTGGCCTTTCATGTTTTCTTTTAAAACGCAAAACCCTGTTGAGACGATTCTGATTTCCTGTAGAGTCCGATTTCCTGTTGTGCGATGGAATTGATCATGTTGATTTCTTACCCCAGGAAGTCACTACACTAAATTCTTTGGTTCTTATTTATTTCTGTGTCCACTTGGCCTAGCACAGTGTCTGGCATTCAGTAGGCACTCAATAATTATTGAATGAACGAATTAAAGGTGAAAGGAAGGCATGCTTTAAAAAGACTTAACTGATGCCTGTTCTACTTTGCGTATGTCAAGATTTTGTCCATTTCAGGTTAAGATTTACTTTTATTTTTGCCTTTTTAAATTTCTTCGTTATACCATTGCCTTTCTTATAAAGAGAAGTCTAGGATATTGTTGCAGTGAGTACTGTATATTGAGACCTGACTTTATGCCAGGCATTGTTCTAAGTACTTTATAAGTACTTTCTAACTTAGTACCTCAGCCATGTGAGATATGTATTGTCATCCCCATTGTACCTGATGAAAAAATTGAGGCCTAGAAGGAGAAGTAATTTGGCCAAGATTACAAGCTAATAATGATTATAGCTAATGTCTGTCAAATGCTTTCTGTGTGTCAGGCACTGTTATGTGTTTTTACGTGTATTATCTCATGTAATCTGCCCAACACTAGGTAGTGACAGGTAGTGCAGTAGTGACAGGGCTGGATTTTAAACTCATACCATTCTATTTTTTGTTTTTAGAAAATAATTAAAAATTGAAGAAAAATTAGTTCTTAAGATGTTTTTAGTCTCATTTATGTGGAGTGATATGGGGAATGTGAAAGTGGTATCTGCGATCACAGGTGTAATTATGTGATATACCAATGAAAACCAAGATTTTCTTTATGAAAAATATTTTTAGTTAATACAAAAAACCGTTATTTTGGTTGAAAACCAAGATTTTCTTTATGAAAACCAAGATTTTCTTTATGAAAACCAATAAAAACCAAGATTTTCTTTATGAAAAATATTTTTAGTTAATACAAAAAACCGTTATTTTGGTTATAAATTGGACATATTCTTTGGATTTAAGGGTCTTTTTGGAGTTCCTGAGCTCAGTGCCCCAGAAGGATTTTATGTTGCAAAAGAAAAAGCCTTGAGAAAGGCAGAGTTGCTTGTGGAGCGGGCGTGTTCTACCCCACCTGGGCCCCAGACCGTGCTCATCTTTGACGAGCTCTCCGATTCTTTGTGCAGAGTGGCCGACTTGGTAAGACGCTTTGTGTAGGACTTGGAACTACCTTTCTTTCAAGCTATTAAAATTTAAAATTTAAGGGAAGTTTATCTTTTGTTAAGATTAACATTAGACTGTAATGTTAAAAATGTCTGAAACCTGGGAGCTGTTGGATATAATTTGTTATAATGAGGTACAGTATGTTATTAGGAATGGAAAAATGTACAGGAAAAGGTGATATTTAGAACTCGTACTTAATATGTATATTTAATGAAATATACATGTAGTATGGAATAAAAGAATGATTACTAATATAGCAAAGATTCTGTTTGACAAAGGTTCTTTATTTATGAAAGCTTCTACCAAGATTCTAATAGAACATTTTATGTGTACATTTACAAGAGATCTTCAGAAAGTTCATGGAAGGATTCATATTATCTTTTAATTCAGTTTTTTCATGAACTTTTTGAAGTACCATGTATAACAAATTCTTCTTTTTTACAAGAGTAATGAAAACCAGTTCTTATAAATCTTTTCAGGATTGCCTTTTCTGATTAAAAACTAAATTTTGACTTCAGACTTACTGTATTAAAGGCTTCTGTTCAACGTTTTAAAGTTGAAATAGAAGCGTACCTAGGTCCCTTCACTAACCAAGAAACCCATTGCTTAGGTAGAAAACATGATTTTTTTGTCAGCCCAAAAGAGTCAGATCTTTATTATTCATATCAATGAAGGAGTGGTGCACATAACCCAAAATAGTGATCGTTCATCATCCTGTGTATGTGGGAATGAACTTGATAGCTTTTTTCCTCACATTCATCCAATGTTGAGCATCTTCTATGTGTCAAACACTGTTTTAGGCACCAGTAATACAGTTATGAATAAAACAGACAATCTCTGACTTCAGGGAGCTTGTATTCTGGTATTAACTTTAAAAAAAATTTTAGTAGGCAGTTGGCCCTGGGAAGAGCTTTTCCTGAATTAACTGATTTAACCTTCTCAGCATATCTCCATTTTCAGATGAGCAAAGGCTGGCACTGGGCAGTGAAGTGGAGTGTCCTGGTCACCTGGCCTGCACGTAGGGGAGCCAGGTGTGGAGTCCCAGCCACCTGTCTATGGAGCTCACATTCTGACTGGTCCAGGGCTGGCTGGCTGCTCAGGTCACATGAGCTCTTACGAGGACAGGTTGAGAAGTTAGTTAGCCTCCCCATCTTTTAATTTTTTGTTGGGCTTTTTTTGGCAGCTGGCAGGTACTGGGATCTGAACCCTTGACGTTGGTGTTATAACCCTGCACTGTAATGGACTGAGCTAACTGGCCAGCCCCTCCCCATCTTTTTAAATAAGTATTTATTTATTTTTAAAATTGTCATACAACAAAATTGACTTCTTTTAGGGGTTGGTACAGATCTTTGAATATTAACTCATATAAGTTTGTGTAGCAACCACCACAATCAGGATGCAGAGCCGTTCCATGACCCCCCAAAATGCTTCTTCTGTAGTCACCCACCTCTCACCTCTAACCTCTGGCAGTCACTGATCTGTTCTCCTTCCCTATAGTTTTGCATTTTCGAGAATGTCATCTAAATGGAATCATATATGAGGGTACTTCAAAAAATCTATGGAAAAATAAAATTAAAAGATAATATGAATCTTTCCATGATCTTTTTGAAGACCCCTTGTATACCTTTTGAGACTGACTTCTTTCACCCAGCGTCACACCGTTCCAGCTGTTCTTTTTCCTTTTTCAGAATATTTCCTTCTTCCCATATACCTGATTTGAGCAGTCATACCTTTCAGATGATTATACATTCACTGTAAGCTTCCCTATTTTTTTTTTTTTTTTAAAGATGACCAGTAAGGGGATCTTACCCCTTTGACTTGGTGTTGTCATCACCACGCTCACCCAGTGAGCCAACCGGCCACCTCTATATGGGATACGAACCTGTGGCCTTGGTGTTATCAGCACCACACTCTCCCGAGTGAGCCACAGGCTGGCCCCTAAGCTTCCCTATTTTAAGGAAGCTGATAAAGTATCTTATTTTGAAAGGTTTTTCTCAAGAATGAAGCTGCGGGCTCTGGGTCGTCAGTTCTGTTTTATTGGGTCTTTGTTCTGTCCCTCCAGTGTGGGCATGGGACATGTTTGAGTGATGGAGGAGCTGTGGGGATCTCTGCCTAATTGTGTCACTGAAATCTGAAAAGGAAAATGCGTGCCAGCGAATTTCATTTACGTATAACCCAGTATTTGCTTTGGCAGTCGCAAATCCCAGGTTTCACTATTTGTTGTCTTGGTCTCCAACTTAATTTATCAGTGTTCAGGATTTTTTTCCACATTTTTACTTTTGCTCTTCACTAAAAGATTTTAAGTTCTCTGCCCTATGTCTTGTTTTATTTTTGAAGATTTTAATATGTATGATGTAGACTAGTATCTCATTTTAAAAATCACTAAAAAAAACTATCATGTGAGTTCTACATATAACTCTCTGGGTAAAAAAATTCAAAGAACTTTCTTCCTTTTTGAGTTTTTATATTACCAGCCTGTAAGATCAGTATCATTATAAGGCAATAGTTTTACAAACTAAACTATTTCTCACCAAATGATCATTTTGTTTTCTTTTTTAAATACAGTTATTATGTAACAGAACTGTTTTCCTCATTACTGTTTTTAAAATGTATGCTAACATTTTGAATTTTAATGTTGATTGTAAATTCTGCAACATACAGATTAGTAATTTTTAAAATATGTTGTAGATTTTACATAGTTCATTTTTCAGGTGCTTTAGTACTAATGTTATCTTATTTTCACCTATTGTTTACAACAAATGTATCAGATTAGTAATTTTTAAAATATGTTGTAGATTTTACATAGCTCGTTTTTCAGGTGCTTTAGTACTAATGTTATCTTATTTTCACCTATTGTTTACAACAAATGTATCAAACTATGGATTTAAGTGTTTTTGCATTAATAACTATTTGATAATAAGATTAGGAATATTATTTACCTTGTAGTGATTTCATTTTATGTTATAGTCATACATGACTTCTTCGTAAAGAAAATACGTAGTTTCCTAGTTTCCCCATATTTTCTTTCTTCTTTTTAAAAAAAATTTAGCTGCTGTCTACATGCATTTTATTTTGCAATGAACTACAATTAAAGTCTAGTTTTATGTGATTTCATTTAAAAATAAATTTATTCAGTTTAACTCTAATCGTTAACATAGCAGCAGCAGTAGCAGTCATTTACCATATTACACAGGGACTAGCAATTCACATTTTACTAAAAGGGCTGTGAGGAAAATGTGCCTTTGTTTTCTGTACAAAGACTAGACTGTAGTTAAATTGGTTCTGAAACTATACTATGTGTCAATTTAAGAAAAACCTCAAAGAATCGTTCTGTGGAGCCAGGTTAGTATGTGAGAACCATATTGCAACCAATTTTAGTTATAAAGTTTTAGAATATTTGGAACCAGGGTCTGCTCTTTTGAACTATAGAATTAAGAAGAACTTGCTTGGTGTTTATATTCGAAGAAAAACTTTTCTAAAATAAAGCTAGTAGAGGTATTTTCTTTGGAATGAAACAAACTATAACAGAATTCATAAATGTTCAGAAAGAAGCTTTGCCTCTCTAGTTTGGGAAACATTCAGTAATGGAAATGCATAGGTCATGCCAAATGGCACATTGTAAAACACAGGCTTTCATTTTCACCCTCAGATCCTGAAAGAAAGCTTTCTATCAAATCCCCTTTTGGTTTTGTTTTTCCCCTTTGTTAGGCTGATTTTGTGAAGATTGCTCACCCTGAGCCGGCATTCAGAGAGGCCGCGGAGGAAGCCTGTAGAAGTATTGGCACCATGGTAGAAAAGTATGTGCAGTCCCCTCCCTTCCAGTGCTGGGTGACAGAGTTTCATGGGCTCGTGCTTCAGGTGGTTTTGTTCATAGCTCTTGTCCCTGCCCAAAAGGGCAGGAGGGGTGTGTGTGTTCCCTGGGCAGCTGCACCGGGTAGCAGGCAGGGCTCTGGGGCAGGCACTGGCTCCCTCTCAGCACGTATCTCTTCTCAGTTAGTTTCCTTGTCTGCAAATGGGGTGATCAAGTTATCTGCTTCTTAGGGTTGTGAGGGTTAAATGAGGTAAATGTAAAGGGTTTATAATGGTGTCAAGCACATGGCAAACACCCAGTATCCTTACTGTCACTGTTTACGTGGAATAAGGGTTTTTTAGTGTCTTAGTGGCAAGATGGAGTTTCTAGCTTATGATTAAATTGCTGCTGCACTGATGGATGGCTGTGGGCCACAGGGCGAGATTCCAAAATTATATACAAACAGTGCCTTGAAGTTCCTGTTGGGATTGAGGGGTCTAGGGAGACCATAAAACTCTCTGGGAGGGCCAAGGTAGGCTGCAGGCTGAGGCTATGGTGAAGTGAATTATTTTAGAGTGATTCTGAGGTTTTTAAGCCATTTATGAGAGCTCCAAAGTGCTTGTTGAAATAACTTCATGGGATGGCCGGTTAGCTCAGCTGGTTAGAGTGCAGTGTTGTAACACCAAGGTCAAGAGCTTGGATCCTCATACAAGCCAGCCACCAAAATAATAATAATAATAATAACAACAACAACAGTAATAACTTAATGGTGGACAGTCCTATATTCGAAAGCACTTAGGTGCATGACACCATGCCACACACTGTGTAAAGCTAGGGAGAGCCTAGGGCTCACCTGGAGTGAAAAATGGGGCCAGACAACGTTGTAAGATTGTTTTACAAACCAGAAGTTGCAGAGGAGGAGGGTGTGTCTTCTCTAGTTAGACAAGGTGTCCTGGAAGACCTGACATGTGCAGCTGCTGCTTTTGCTCCGGTTGAGCAGCACGTACCCTCTTTGGTACAATAAACGTGGCTTCTCTTGTAGCCACTGGAAATCAACTCACCGAATGGGATAAAGCTGGTCCCTGGAAAGTCCAGACACTGGGCATGCCGAAGGGGCTGGAACCGGGCCTCCTTTTGGAGAAGGAGCATTGTCTACGGGAGAAAGGCCTCAAGAAAGGGGTCCGAGTGCCAGGCTGCCTGCCCAAGGCACGGAATTGACGTGCAGTCTGGTCTGATATGTTAACTTAGTGAGAGGACAGTGAGGGACCGTAATTGGTGGTGAAGTGGTGTCAAGAGTGGCTACCCGTGATCCTCAGTCTACCGTGGACAGTGGTTCAGTCGTTGAGTATCTGTAGAGCTTTGCTTTCTGCTTTCTCTAAGCACTGTGACTCATTTTCTCCCTCAGTTCAACTGAATCATATCTTAACTTCCTTCTTCACTTGATGTTTGAAAAATCAGGATGATTTTAAGTGTACATGTAGAATTGATATTTTCCGGTAGCAGGAAAAAAATTCTAAAATTAGGTCTAGTTGTTTAGAATTAATGCCAAATATAGACTAAAGTATAGACCATCTCATGATCTTCCAACGTAAAACATAGTGTGGGAGATCTGCTGAAGCGGGTATAGTGCAGGCCACCTCTAAACTGCTGTCCTTTTGACAGAGTGGCTCTGGCACCTGCAGTGACTTTCTCCCTGACCTCTGGTGTCCATGGCTGCGGGCAGGAGATGAGAAGGGGAGCCTGACCCTTCCTGTCGAATGATTTTTGATTGGCAGTGACTGCCTCAGTTCCCTTGATGTTTGGGAAGGTCCATGAGAACCAGGCAACAGAAACCCTCCTTGATTTATATAAAACTTGAGTTTTTTTGATTATGAACTGAATGGGAAACTGGACCATCCTTGATCCATGAGTCGGAATCGGTGGATGATTCTTATAACCTTGTCACACTCTGAGGACCTAGCTCATTATTTAGCCCCGAGAGTGCCAGGGATTGTTGGCATCCAGGGAAAAAGGACTGAGGCGTGACAGTGGTAGCATGGATGGGTTGAGACAGTGCTTGGTGGTGCATCTTTGCTCGCCAGCTTTGGCTAAGGACCGGCCTGTACGACCGCCTAACAATGGCTGTGGCTCTGGCTCATTAGTGGGGGGGGCGGGATATGTACTGTACACATGCGATCTCATTTAATCCTCACAGCCACCTGAGGTCTAAATAACCTGCCCAAAGTCACAGAACAGTGGTAGGGCCGGTCTTGCATCCTGGGTATGTGGCTCTGAAGCCTGTGTCCTGAGCTCTCCCTTATGGCATGGGCCTGCCCACATGAGCCCAGGTAGCCCATGTTCTGGGGTGCCCAGGTCAGGATTGGAAAACGTTTGTGTTTATTCATCCTCCTGCCCATCCTCACTCTTTTCCTTTAATTAAAAAAACAGTGGCTGTCTGTGTATTGCTCACGTGAGCTGGTTCTCACTCCGATCACCAGCCACCACCTTCCTCCCCTGCCCTCTTTCCTGTCTTCTCTTTCTGCCCAGCTGCTGACTGTGGCTTTACATTTATCCTTTACCTTCCAGAACAGTTAGTACCACAGCACTTTGCCCAGCACACCGCCCATCCCCATACTGGATAGCTCAGTTCCTAAGTATGGTTGTGCTGTCCTGGTCCAAATGAAGAAACTAAAAACTACCCCAAACTTTTGGCCTCTGGGCATGTGTCTGGTATGATTTGACACCGTTCTTTTGATGTAAAGTTAAAAATAAAATATTAGAAAATCGTTTAATTTTTTTTTTCATTTGTCATTTTTCTAGGTTGAACACAAATGTGGAATTATATCAAAGTTTACAGAAGTTACTAGCTGATAAAAAACTTGTGGATTCCCTTGATCCAGAAACCAGGTACTCACTCGTTCCTTTGCATTTGTTATGCATTTGTCATTTTTCTAGGTTGAACACAAATGTGGAATTATATCAAAGTTTACAGAAGTTACTAGCTGATAACAAACTTGTGGATTCCCTTGATCCAGAAACCAGGTACTCACTCGTTCCTTTGCATTTGTTATGTCTATGACTTTAGAGGTGAGGTTGGAAGACTTCGCCTAGGCCTCAGGCCCCGCAGTCCCCTCTGTCTGGAATGTTCCTCCTCCGCAGGTTTCTCCGTGTCCCCTGCACCTTCTCTTTCTAGGACTCCACTCAAATGGTGTCTCTTCCAAGATCTTCATACTAGGTCAGCCTCCATCCTCTACCCTGCTTTAATTTTCTTCATAGCTCAATCACTTCCAACATGATCTTAGCTGTTTGTTTATTTGTTTATCATCCCTCTCACTAGACTGCAAGCGCCTCGAAGGCAGGGACTTTTCTGTTTCGTTCACTCCTGCATCCTCTGCACCTACAATGTTCATGGCATGTAGTAGTGCTAACCCAGTGAATGAATTCCTATAAGCAGTTGTTAATTACACTTAGCTTTATGCTTACAGTTCCATAATACTATCAGAAGATATAATCAAATTGATTTTATTTACTGGGTGGATGTCAGATTATTTGCTTTGGTTCATTAGATAACATTTATGAATCTGGATTGAAAGGCTTAATTTCTAAGTCAGTACATAAGAGTATTTGATATAAGACCTTAGATATATTATTTCTTTGCTCATATTTATTTATTTATAAAATAAGTATAGTTTGTCATTAACTCGCCTATAATATTTGTGTTGTAACACAAAGATTAATTTTTTTCTCACTCATTTATACCTTCTTCTCTGCTTTTTATTTGTGGGACACTTACTTCCTTTGACTACTTAATTCTCTCTTCTCCTCCTTTTCTTTTTTCATATGTTGCTTATGACCTCAACTGAAGCCCTATTCTACAGGGACTAGTTGATAACATAATCTTGCTATTAATCTAATATATGAGAACCATGCTTTGTGAGTCGCACAGTGAGGCTGTCTTTGAAGCATTATTTTTACCTGACTGGCAGGTACGCAGGTACCTGGTCTTGTTTCATTTCATTGGTGCTGATGCTCAGGATACTAGTAAAGCTAGTGGTATCATCAGAACAGTTTGTTTTGTTATAATTTTAGGCTTGAGTGTTATATATTTCCTTCATTAGCAAAGCAGGTAAAAGTCGAATGCCTATTAATTGTGCCAGATTTCTACTCGGTTAATACTGACTTTAAGTAACAACACTGAAAAATGTTAAAAATAAGAAAGTTATTCATAATATGACTTTAGTAAAGGTTGATGTTTCCATGCTTATGCATAAAAATTGAGTTTGAAGTAATAATCATTGAAATATCACTGCACTTGTACATATCAAGAGTGTTGGCTAGTACCCAGAAAGAACGGTCTTAGAACCTTGCATACGGGACAGTATAAGACAGTGGCTGAGACATAGAATTGTAGACTTAATAAAGTATCTTGTCATGATAAGTTAATGTGTAGAAGGAATAATTAAACTGAGAAGCTCATCATCTTATTCTTAGATGTATTCCTTGAAATACTAGTTCTACGAGATATTTAGAAATTTCCTCATAAGGGTCCCATTGGTCAATAAGTTTGGAAATCTGACATATTAAAGTATTTTCCCCTCTTGGGGAGTTTTAGTAGTTTAGAGTCTCTGAGAACCCTGGTCATAAAGAAATCTATTTAACTTGGGATTTTCCAGAATCATTAAAAGCTTTCTTGTATGCAAAGAATGTAACAAGTCACCCTCTCTCAGAAAATATAATGGGGGGAAAATCCCAGTCCCCAGAGCACCAAAAGCTGTACTACCCCTTGGAGTAAGCTCAGGGAAGTGGAGAGCATAGAACTTAAACGCACACACACACTTCTAGGAAGGTAAAAGGTGACTGAAATGGAGAAACTTTAAGAAAGAAGAAAACTCCATCGTGTTTTCTACTGGTCTGTAACTTTAATAATATTCAATCTATATCTAAAGAAAAATTTTTTTGTTCTTACTTCAAATGATTTTGAAGTCATAGAGAATAATTATACCAGGATAGGTAGGAATTACCTGGTAAAGAAAGTACTAAAAAAGAGCTTGTACCAGATATTAAAAGGTATAGACATACTGTATTTAAAAGAGCATTCATTATACTTATGCTGGCATAGTCAATTAGATTAATGAAAGAATAGAGGAATTTCAGACACAGGTATATGTAGGACTGAATTTAGTATGTGATAGAAGCATCATTTCACATCGGTAGGGTTTCAGTAAATGATCTTAGGCCAATGGATAACCATTTTGCAGGGGGAAAGTAGGATGATTAAAGGTTTAAAAATTTTTTTTAAAGAAATCATGAAACTTGATAGTCTTGGGATGTGGAAGGTCTTTTTTTTTTTTTTTTTTTTTTT